TTTTTTTTAAAGAGAGTCTCACTATGTAGTTTGGACTGGCCTCCACTCACTAAGTAAGCCAGGCTGGCCTTGAACTCAGTGATCCTCCTGCCTCAGCCTCCTGAGTGCTAGGATTACAAGTGTGTACCACCACACCCAGCCCTTTATTCTTTTACTTTTAGCTTATTTGTGCATTCCTACTTAAAGTGGGATTCATGTAGGCTATATATACTTACAGGGCTTGGCTTAATTCAATCTGAAAAATCTTTGCCTTTTACATTTAATGTCATTATTATTGTAAATTGGTTTAGATCTACCATTGGACTATTTCTTTCCTATTTGTCCCTTATGCTCTTTATTTCCCTTTCCCCTACTTCTGGCTTATTCTGGATTATTTTTATGATTCTATTCCATCTCCCTTTTTTTTTGGTTTGCAGGCAATAGTTCTTTGTTGTGCTTTTAGTAGTTGCTTTATTGTTTATAGTATATAACTTTATCACACTCTACCTGAGTAAATATTATATTACTTCAATAAGAAACAAAGTTTCAGGGCCGGGGATTTAGCTCAGTGGTTTCGCCGCCTGCTGCACAAGCGCAAGGACCCGTGCTTGCTCCCCGGTACAAAAATAAATAAAAAAAAGAAAAAAATACAAACTGAGGGGCCAGGGATTTAGCTCACTGGTTCCACTGCCTGCCTCATAAGTGCAAGGACCCAAGTTCAATCCCCGGTACCCAAAAATAAAATAAAATACAAACTGAGTGGCTTACTATAAAAACGTATTCTTTTACAGTTCTGGAGGCCAGAGTCCAAAATCAGTAGCACCAAGCTGAAATCAAGGTGCAACAGGTGCTGCATACACACCCTCACACCCCCTGGGCTGCCGGAAGAACCTCACTTGCCCTCCTGCTTTGGCAGCTGCCCACATTCTGCAGTTTGAAGCCACTTCACACCCAACTCCAGGCAGCCCCCTCAAACCTGTCCCCACCCAGCTTCTCGTGGGCTCTGTGTGTGCCTCCTTTTTATAAGGACACACATGACTTTATTCTAGGGCCCACCCAGGTAATCCAGGTAATCTTTATACCCCAAATCCTTAATGTAATCATCCCAGCAAGACCCCTTTCCTTATAATGTAACATTTACAGGTTCCAGGGATTGGGGCTTGATGACATTTTTTGTGGGAGTAGCGGGCATTCTTCTACCTAAGTATACTGCCATTTCTGTTCATCATATATTTTACTTACACATGTTATAAACTCCTAAATGTTTTTGTGTTAAACAAATTATCTTTTAAAACCTAAATAAGTCCTTTAAAAATTAGCCTCTTTTGGGTTGGGGATTTAGCTCAGTGCCACCGCGCCTGCCAAGCAAGTGCAAGGTCTCTGGTGCCAAAAAAAAAAAAGCCTCTTGAAAGCAACTTAAATTAAGGGGGAAGTGCTTTCAAAGACCATGTATTTATGGTACAGTCACCACTTCCACTGTTCTTCAATCTTCGTGTAGACATGGATTTCAAACTGGAGTCATTTTCCTTCTGCCTGAAACACTTTTTAAAAGATTTCTAGATAACGGCTACCTGTCAGACATGGAGCATTTCTGCCTCTGTGCACCTGGGGGTCTTTATTTCACCTCTGTCTGAATCCCACAGAGTTTTACTGGGTCTCCCTCTCCCTGCCTTCCAGAAGTGCTCCCCTGACTTGAGGCAGGCATGGTTCCCAGAGAGGCCTGCTGTCGTCCGCACCTTAGTCCAGCACCAGTTTTCTGGTGTGTTGTCTCTGACGTATTTACTCTCTTCTCTAGCTTGTAGAACACACGGTACAATTACTATACCTGCTTTAATGTTTTTACATACTATTTTTACCATCCAGAATTCCTGGGCAGTGTCCCCACCTTCAAATACCATCACTCTGGGGTTAGGGCTTCAGCACTTCCATAGGAAGCATGACATAGTGTCAGCTACTCTGGTTACTAGCACAGAACTCGTGGTCCTCCTGCCTCAGCCTCCCAAGCAGCCTGCATTACAGGTGCGCACAGCTGGCTTTTGGTCCAGTCATAGTCTTCTCCAAACTACTTTCTTGCGTTCTTTGCCTATTTTCCTGTTCAGACTGATAGTTTTTTTTTCAGAATGATTTATAACTGCTCTTCAAACAGGCTATTAAATTTTTGACTTATATGCCATTAATACTTCCCCAAGTTGACCCTTTTTTTTTTTCTTTTGAGACAGGGTCTCACTGTGTAGTTCAGGCCAGCACTGAGTTCACTATGTCACCTAGGTTGGCCTCAAACACAGAGATCCTCCTGCCTCAGCCTCCCCAGTGCTGGGATTAAGGTGTGCACCACCATGCCCGGCTATTTTTTTGTTTTGTCTAAGGTGGATTTTGACATTTTAAACTGTATTCTAGTCAAAATAATTTTTCCTCTATTTAGCCCAACTCTTAAGATTAAATTTTCTTTTTGTAGTAATGACTTTACTATTTCATATTTAGGTACAGTACTTATGTTTGTTTGCAAACATGAGGTGGAGGCATCATTTTCCCCAAAATATTCAGTAGGGAAATGTATCATCTTTATTACAAGTTCATACACAGATACACACACATGTACTTTTCTAATGTTCTGTTCCATATGTGTTTTAATATACACCAGGTCTGACCATATTATCAATGATTCAAGATTTCCTCTGCAATAGTTATGTATTTTTTCTAGTAGATGATAAAGCTCAAAAGTACCACTGGAACTTTGATCAAGGTGATTTTTAAAATATGAACTTAGAAAAAGTCCAACTTTATGATAGAGAAATCTTCCCATCTGGGAAGTAAAATAGTTGCCTATAACTTTCAGGAACATCAGCAACATTCTGTACATAATTTATGCATATGTCTTGTCAACTCCTTGGACTTTTATTACTACAAATTAGATCTTATTTTCAAACTGATTTGTGCTAATATATGAGAAATCTATGGTTTATTTAATATTTATTTTTACCAAGCCAACTTATCATGATACACTATATTTGTAACAGGTTGCTTAGATAAAAGTCCCTAAGTATTTGCAAGAGGATATCATTCAAAGTACATCCCTAATGGTTGGGAATGCAGCTCAGCAGCACAGTGTCTGCCTGGCAAGTGCAAGGCCCTGAGTTTGATTCCCGGTACCAAAAAAAAAAAAAAGATAGAATCTCAATATAGTTCTGATTTGCATTTCCCTATGGCCTAACGTGCTGAACATTTTTCATATACTTATTGGCCATTTGTACTTCTTTTGAGAAGTGTCAATTGGATTCATTTGCTCATTCATTAATTGAGCTATTTGGGTTTGTTTGCTTTTAGTTCTTTGTTCTAGATGTTAAGCTTCTATCAGAGGAGTAGCAAAGATTTTCTCCCATTCTTTTGGTTGTCTCTTCTATTGTTGTTTCCTTTGCAGTGCTGGGCTTTTTAATTTGATACAATCCCATCTGCTGACTCTAGATGTTACTTTCTGTTATTGGGGGCCTCTCAGGAAGTCTGCTGTGTCAGTGCCTTCAAGTGTTTCCTCTGTTCTCTGCCAGCAGCTTCAAAGCTTCCAGTCATGTTTCCAGGTCTGTCATCCGTCTTCACTTGATTTCAGTACAGGGTGGGAGATGGGACTCTAGATGCAATCTTCTGCATGTGGATATCCAGTCCTTCAGTTGCATGTGCTAAAGAGGCGGGCTTTTCCCCAGCATGTCTTTGACCCCTTTGTCAAGTCAGCTGGCTGCAGGTGCACAGATTTGTTTCTGTGTCTTCTATTCTATTCCGCTGGTTGAAATGTCTATTCTGACAGGACCATGTTGTTTTGCACTATAATTTGAAATCAGATACTGGGATTGCTTTTGGCTTAGGACTTGGATATTCTGGGTCTTTTGTGCTTCCATATGAATTTTACAATTTTCCTACTTCTGTGAAGAATGCTGTTATCATTTCATCTACATATAAAGATTTTGCTTCTACCTTGCCAAAAAAAAAAAAAAAAGAAGAATTCTGTTGATATTTTAATAGGGATGACACTGCATTCGTAGATCATTTTTGGTAATATAACCATTTTAACAATATTAGTTCGGCCAATCCATGAACAAGGGAGCACGTACATTTTCTAATGGAATGTCTAATTTCTTTTCTAACGTCTTCTCTAATTTCCTTCAGTGTTCTGTAATTTTCATCAGAAGGCTCTTTCACTT